AAAAGATATATGCACACCTATGTTCATCAAGATACAGCCCAAATGCCCAACTCCAGATAAATGGATCAATAAGTTGTGGTATATAAACACACAATGGAATGTTGTACAGCTTTCAGAAAGTACAAAATCATGCATATGCACCAGCATGGATGAAACTAGAGGACATGCTGTGTGAAGCCAGTCAGAAGGAAAGGGATAGGTACAAAATTTAATCAAGTGTGTCACTTACAGATACATGGCAGTGTAGAAAAAAAGGTCCAAAAGCAACATAATGAAGGACCTGATCCACACAATTAAATTGAGAGGGGAGATTAAGATGGATGCTCTTTGGGTCCTTGGAAGAGGGAAGGATACACGGATGATAGGTATGGTGTTGCAATTATGTGTATGAGAATTTATCATTAATAATATGGTATACCAGAGAATCTCAGTTAAATTTTAAAAAGTACAGCTAGGTCTAGAGAAACAGTACAGCAAGTAAGGTATTTTGACTTCCATGCAGCTGGCCTGAGTTCAATCCCTGACACTCTATAGAGTACACGAAGCCCCACCATAAGTGATACCTGAGCACAGAGCAGGAGGAAGATATGTGTACTTCTGGATGTCATCCCCCTTCTCGGAAAGAACAAAACCTGTCCAACACCTACTCTTTTGGGGCCATGATTTCTCCATCTATGAATTGAAGAGTGTGTTGAATTGATTACTGATTACTTTACACACTCATTTTCCTTCTATTCTCATGCTTGTTACTCTCAGAGAAATAAAGTGCAAACAAAATATTGAAATATGTTTTAGAAAAGTTCCTGTTGTCATCAGGAGTTTTCAATGGGAAATATTCTAGTTAAGTGATCATTGATCAGAGGTCAAAATTTATAACTATTACTTGTAGTAGTGTTGAGGCAGGAAAAAGATATCAAAGGCATTAAGGTAGGAAAGGAAGAAATAAGGCTCTCACTATTCACAGATGATATGATACTATACTTAGAGAACCCTATAACCACTACCAAGAAACTCCTAAAAAAAAAGAGACTTGTATAGTAAAGTTGCAGGCTATAACCTCAATGCCCAAAAGTCCGTGGCTTTCCTATATGCAAATAGTGAGAGAGAAGAAAGAGACATGAAAAAAACAATCCCTTTCACAATTGTGCCCCAGAAAATCAAGTACCTAGGATCAGCCTAAATAGTAAAGGACCTGTAAAAAAAATCCTACAAAACGCTACTTCAGGAAATAAAAGTGGACATGGGAAAATGGAAGGATATCCCCTTGTCCTGGATCCGGAGAATTAAAAATGTCAAAATGGCAATAATTCACAAAGCATTATACAAGTTCAATGCAATCCCTATAAGAATACCCATGACATTCTTCAAAGAAATGGAGAAAACACTTCTGAAAATCATAAGGTAAGGTAAGGTAAAGGCCCTCCCGTTGTTCGTCGATTTGCTCGAGCAGGCCCAGTAACGTCTCCATTGGAGACTTTGTTGTTACTGTGTTTGGCATATCGAATACGTCACGGGGAGCTTGCCAGGCTCTGCCGTGTGGGCGAAATACTCTCAGTAGCTTGCCGGGCTCTGAAAATCATATGGAACAATAATCCCCCACGAATAGCTAAAGCAATTCTTGGGAAAAAGAAAATGGGAAGAATCAATCTCCCTAACTTCAAACTCTACTACAAAGCAGTAATAATTAAAACAACATGGTACTGGAACAAACACAGAGATGCAGATCAATGGAACACTGTTGAATATACTGACATATCCCCCCAAATATATGATCATCCAATCTTTGATAAGGGAGCAAGAAATGTGAAGTGGAGCAAGGAAATCCTCTTTAACAAATTTTGCTGGCAAAACTGGATGGCTACATGCAAAAAAAAATGGGCTCATATCTCTGCCTAACACCATGTACAAAAGTAAGGTCAAAATGGATTAAAGTCCTCAAGATCAGACCGGAATCCATAAGGTACATTGAAGACAAAGTTGGCAAAACCCTCCATGACATTGAAGCTAAGGGTATCTTCAAAGATGTCACACCACTTGCCAACCAAGTGAAAACAGAGAGAGACAAATGGGACTATCTTAAACTAAGAAGCTTCTACACCTCAAAAGAAACACTGACTAAAATACAAAGACATTCTACAGAATGGGAAAGGATATTTACTCAATAAACATCTGACAAGGGATTGATATCCAGGATAAACAAATTACTGTTTGAACTCCACAATGAGAAAACATCCAACCCCATCAAAAAATGGGGCGACAAACAGAGGCAGGGTGAGATGGGGGGGGGTTGGGGGATGGGAGGGATACTGGGAACAGTGGTGGTGGAAAAATGGGCACAGGTGGAGGGATGAGTACTCAAACATTGTATAATTGAAACCCAAGCACAAAAATTTGTAAGTCTACAACTGTATCTCATGGTGTTCCACTAATAAAAATTTTTTAAAAATGGGGCAACGAAATGAACAAAAAATTTCTCAAAGAACTATGAAGGGCAAAAAGGCACATGAAAAAATGCTCTACGTCATTAATCATCAGGGAGTTGCAGAACAAAACAACAATTAGATATCATCTCACACCACAGAGACTGGCCCACATCCAAAAGAACAAAAGCAACCGGTGTTGGCACGGATGTGGCAAGAAAGCGACCCTCCTTTACTGCTGGTGGGAATGCCGACTGGTTCAGCCCTTTTGGAAAACAGTATGGACGATTCTCCAAAAACTAGAAATTGAGCTCCCATTTGACCCAGCAATACCACTCCTGGAAATATATCCCGGATAGGCAAAAAGTACAGTCGAAATGACATCTGCACTTCTATGTTCATTGCTGCAATGTTCACAATGGCCAAAACCTGAAAAAAATCTGAGTGCCCAAGAACAGATGACTGGTTAAAGAAACTTTGGTACATCTAACAATGGGTACTATGTAGCTGTTAGAAAAGATGAAGTCATGAAGTTTACATACAAGTAGTACTACATAGAAAGTATCATGCTAAGCGAAATGAGTCAGAAAGAGAGGGACAGACATAGAAAGACTGCATTCATCTGGGGAATATTAATGTAACAAATTGGGAGACTAACACCCAAGAATAGCTGAGATAAGTACCAGGAGGTTCACTCCATTTCCTGGAGGCCAGCCGCACATGCTAGGGGAAAAGGCAGCTCAGATAGAAAAGGGAGCATCAAGTAAAGGGTGTTGGGAGGATTCTCCCAGGATGGGAGATATATGCTGAAAGTAGACTATAGACCGAACATGATTGCCACTCAATGCAAACCAAAGCACTCAAAAAGAGAGAGAGAGAACAAAAGGGAATGCCCTGCCACAGAGGCAGGGTGGGGTGGGGGGCATGGGGGGGAGGGATACTAGGATCAGTGGTGGTGGAAAATAGGCACTGGTGGAGGGATGGGTACTTGATCATTGTATAATTGAAACCCAAGCACAAAAATTTTTAAGTCTACAACTATACCTCTTAGTATTTCACTAATAAAATTTAAAAAATATAACTGCTATAAATATATGTTAGAATCATTTACAAAGATTCAAATATTAGAAAATATTATTAAGTTATATCTAGTCCACTATATCTCAATATTTAGGTCATTTAAATCCGGGGCCATATTCTTTGCTTGGAGAGGGAGACTATTCTGAGTTTTGTGGAGATCTGTAGAATCCAGCATCATCGTCTCTTCCTACTAGGTGCCTGTAGCACTCCTGCCCTACCTTGTGACAATTAAAAATATGGCCAATGTTCCATGGAAACTGGATTGCTACGTATAGAAATGTATATTTAATTGGAAAACCTGCCTGGAAAGGAAGGTAATATTATACCTAGTTAGAAACCACAGATATCCTGGCTCCTAGCTACTCAAAGTTCAGCAAGGAAATCAATCATCTTGGAACTTCTAAAACAAATCAGAAGCTCATGCCTCAACTCAAATTGACTGAATTAGAAACATAAGGCATTTAATAAACCACCAGATGATATGTATGCATATTGAATTCGAGAAACTGACAATAAAAAAATCCTGTATATGTGTGTATATATGTGCATATATATACACATGTGTCTGTGTATATATATATACATATAAAGCAAGCATATGTGTGTGTATATATGCATATGTATATACATATAGCAAATGTATCACTAATACCTTTTCTCTGTTCCATTTGTTGTTGTTATTTGTAAAGTCTCCCATCCAAGTACTAACCAGGCCCGACCCTGCTTAGCTTCCGAGATCAGACGAGATCGGGGGCGTTCAGGGTGGTATGGCCGTAGACAAGTTATTTGTAAAGTCTAGAGAGAATACACACTTATTTGTGATAAACCAGCGATCATACATTTGTCGTAGCACCAGAAATCACAAAGACAGTGCTTTTGGGATCATACAATCATATGGGCTGATGTCAGGAGTAGAATTTGTGATTAGAACTCATGGCCTATTATTATTCAGACACTCTACCACCGAGTCACATACCCAAGCAATGCCTTTATGGAACAACTGCAAAGAAGAAAATAAAATATTAAAATTAAGAATTTCTTTGTTAAAAAAGAGAATCAAGTGACTTGTTTGGGTTATAAAGACTTCATTTCAAAAACTGAATTATGAAACCAGATTAGACACCAGCTCCACTAATTTCTCATCTAGTATAGTTTAACTTTCATTCAGGTTGCCTGCCAAAAACCTGTCTCCTCCTAAGAGGAGATTATTTTGTAGTAAAAAGTATTTAAAAATCATGTAAACTCTCACAGCTCCAAGAATTTAAGAGGTTACCAGCATTGAAGATGGAAAGCACCTTGATAAGAATGTTGATTTTGGTCTCTGCCATCAGTTGTAAAGAACGTTGCAAATCCCAAAACGTCAATAAAAGAGTTTTTTTAAAGAGAGACATCAGTTAATCCAAATTAGTGTCCATAAACAACAAGTATCTAGAAATCAATTTTAAAATGAAGGCAGAGTTTTCCTTGAATAACTACAGGTCACTTTGAAAAGAAATAGAAGTTCTCCTTTTGGCAACACATATACAAAAATTGAAACTATACAGAGGTTAGCATGACACCTGCGCAAAGATGAAACAAAAAATATATTAAGAATTCATTTTTAATTAAACAAAAATAATTTAAAAATTGAAATTAAAAAACAATAAAAAGTACAGAGGCCCAGCTCTGGGCAACAAAGCTGAACGGCTCCAATTCCAAACAGGCACAGCCCGTCCCCAAGGGCCTGGGACCCTCTCTGGGCATGCGCAGCTAGATCCAGCCCCTAGAAAGCCGGTTTTCAACCCCTGAGCTGTGTGGGATGGGCACAGAGGCCCAGCTCTGGACAACAAAGCTGAACGGCTCCAATTCCAAACAGGAGACGTTCCCAACTCCTCGCCCAGTGCCAGGGACTCTTTCCGGAGCCACAGCCGCTGATGCGGCCGCGAAATATTTTCCCACTACGTATGCCATAGGAACCATAAGCTACCTTCTTAGGTGGAAACTTCTCTATTTTAGATAAGCCACTAGAAATACAGTAGCCAATAACTCATAAGCCTATCTTAACTCACACTGCATATCAAGCAGAATAGTAACAGTGAACGTGAAGGACTAAACCACACCTCTCACAATGGTAAAGGTAAAGGTAAAGGTAAAGGCCCTCCCGTTGATCGTCGATTTGCTCGAGCGGGCCCAGTAACGTCTCCATTGGAGACTTTGTTGTTACTGTGTCTGGCATATCGAATACTCTCGGTAGCTTGCCGGGCTCTCCGAAAGGGCTGGAGCGATAGCACAGCGGGTAGGGCGGTCGCCTTACAAGCGGCCAACATGGCCGACCCGAGTTCGAATCCTCCGCCCCTCTCGGAGAGCCCGGCAAGCTACCGAGAGTATTCGATATGCCAGACACAGTAACAACAAAGTCTCCAATGGAGACGTTACTGGGCCCGCTCGAGCAAATCGACGATCAACGGGAGGGCCTTTACCTTTACCTCACAATGGTAAAGCAACGCAAAAGCCCACCAAACTTTCATATTGAAGAGTCTAGCCCAGATGACACCAACAGTACTGTAGTGTTAGACAACCTCTCTGACAAGGAATTCAGAAGGGAGCTACTTAGGATGCTTAGGGAATTAAAAGAAACAATGGAAAGCAATGCCAATAGAAGACAAAAGGATCTGGAGGCAGAAATGAGGAAAATGCAATCAGAAATGTCAGACCTGAAAAATCTCGTAGGCGAATTGAAAAGCTCAGTGGAAGGCCTCAGCAGCAGAGTAACAGTAAATTCTGCTGAGAACAGAATCAGTGAGCTCGAAGATGAAGTTCAGAGACTCTCCAGAAAAGAGCAGAAAATGGAAAAGAGACTCACAATTCGGGAACTGATTGCAAGAGAAGATCGGGATGAAGCCAAGAGGGGTAACATAAGAATTATTGGAGTCCCAGAGGGACAGGAAGAAAACCTTGATGAAGAAGAAACTGTCAAAGACATCATTGCTACAACGTTTCCAGCGCTGAAGAAAACTTGTGACCACATTCAGGAGGCCCGAAGGGTACCAGCTAGAAGAAATCCGAATAAAAATACCTCAAGACACATTCTGATCAAAATGACCAAAACCTTAGACAGAGACAAAATTCTGAAAGCAGCAAGATCGAAGAAAGAAATCTCTTACAAAGGAGCATCCTAAAAATTCACAGCTGATTTTTCTGATGAAACCCTCATGGCCCGAAAACAGTGGTGGGACATAGTGAAAAAACTCAATGAAATAAATGCCTCCCCAAAAATACTTTTCCCAGCAAGACTCTCATTCATAATAGAAGGAACAACACACAGTTTCACAGACAAACAACAGCTCAGGAACTTCATAGACTCAAAACCATGGTTACAAGAACAACTAAATGGGCTACTTTAAGGCAAGAAAGGCCCTTCAAATACACCAAATTTTAACAGAACAATGGGACAAAATCCCATAACAATAATCTCTCAATGTCAATGGGCTAAACCCACCAATTAAAAGACATAGAGTGGCAGGATGGATTAGAAAATTGAACCCAACATTCTGCTGCCTGCAAGAAACGCATCTCAATAGTCAAAGCAAACACAGACTCAGAGTCAAAGGCTGGAAAACAATCCTACAGGCAAACAGCTCCCATAAAAAAGCTGGGGTAGCTATACTTATATCAGACCACATCGATTTCAGAGTGAGGAAGGTCATAAGAGACAGTGAAGGCCATTTCTTATTGATCAAAGGATCTGTACAACAGGAAGAACTTACAATAATAAATGTATATGCACCTAATGAGAGACCAGCAAAGTACTTAAAACAACTACTCATAGATTTGGAAAAAGACATCAATAGCAACACAATACTAGTGGGAGACTTCAACACTGCTTTGTCACCTCTTGATAGATCAACCAGACTCAAGCTTAGCAAGGACATACTTCATATGAGGGAAACAATGGAAGAAAGGGACTTAGTAGATATATACAGGACACTTCATCCACAAAAAGCTGAATACACATTCTTCTCAAGTGTACATGGAACATTCTCCAAGATAGACCACATGCTGAGCCACAAAACATGCCTCCATAAAATTAAGTAGGTAGAGATTGTATCAACAATCTTCTCAGACCATAATGCGCTGAAATTAGAAGTAAATCACACACAAAAACAGAAAACTAAATCAAACACCTGGAAATTAAACAGTGCACTATTGAACAACGAGTGGATTAGACGGGAAATCAAAGAGGAAATCAAAAGATTCCTAGAAACGAATGAAAATGAGAACACGAGTTACCAAAACTCATGGGACACAGCAAAGGCTGTGTTAAGAGGAAAGTTTATAGCTCTACAAGCATTCCTCAGGAAGGAGGAGCGAGCACACATAAGTAACCTAACCTCACAGCTTAAGAGCTTGGAGAAGGACCAAAAAAAGGAGCACAACCCGAACAGGAGAAAGGAAATAATAAAACTCAGAGCAGAGATTAACGAGATGGAAACCCAAAAAACAATCCGAAAGATCAATGAAACCAAAAGCTGGTTGTTTGAGAAAATTAACAAGATCGATAAGCCTCTAGCAAAACTCACAAAGAAAGGGAGAGAGAAAACCCTAATAAACCGAATCAGAAATGAAAAGGGGGTCATTACAACAGAAACCACAGAAATTCAGAGGATCCTCAGGGAGTACTTTGAGAAGCTTTATGCCACGGAACATGAAAACTTCGAGGAAATGGATAAATTCCTAGACTCCTACAGACACCCAAGGCTGAACCAAGAAGACCTGGAATACCTGAACAGACCTATCACCATCAAGGAAATTGAAATGGTAATAAAAAGTCTCCCCAAGCACAAAAGTCCTGGCCCGGATGGATTCACTAGTGAATTCTTCCAAATCTTTAAAGAGGACTTACTCCCGATGCTCTTTAAGCTTTTCCACGAAATTGAAATATCAAAAACACTTCCGAACAGTTTCTACGAAGCAAATATCACACTGATACCAAAAGCAGACAGAGATACCACAAAGAAAGAGAATTACAGGCCGATATCCCTGATGAACACAGATGCAAAGATCCTCAACAAACTACTAGCAAATAGAATCCAACTACTCATCAAAAGGATCATACACCATGACCAAGTAGGATTCATCCCAGGGATGCAAGGATGGTTTAACATTCGGAAATCAATCAACATAATCCACCATATTAACAAAAGAAAAGATAAAAAGCATATGATCATATCAATAGATGCAGAGAAAGCATTTGATAAGATCCAGCACCTCTTTATGACGAAAACCCTAGCCAAAATGGGTATAGAGGGGACCTTCCTCAACATAATTAAAGCCATCTACCACGAGCCTACAGCAAGCATCATCCTCAATGGGGAAAAACTGAGAGCCTTCCCTCTAAGATCAGGGACGAGACAGGGATGCCCACTCTCTCCACTGCTGTTCAATATAGTACTGGAAGTACTTGCAATAGGGATTAGGCAGGGAAAAGATATTAAGGGCATTCAGGTAGGAAAGGAAGAAATCAAGCTCTCACTATTCGCAGATGATATGATACTCTACTTAGAGAACCCAATAACCTCCACCAAAAAACTCCTAGAAACAATAGACTCCTACAGTAAATTTGCAGGTTATAAAATCAATACCCAAAAGTCCATGGCTTTCCTATACGCAAACAGTGAGAGAGAAGAAAGCAACATGAAAAAAAAATCCCGTTCACAATTGTGCCCCAGAAAATCAAGTACCTAGGAATCAGCTTAACTAAGGAAGTAAAGGACCTTTACGAAGAAAACTACAAAATGTTACTTCAGGAAATAAAAGAGGACATGAGGAAATGGAAAGATATCCCCTGCTCATGGGTCGGAAGACTTAACATTGTCAAAATGGCAATACTACCGAAAGCATTGTATAAATTCAATGCAATCCCTATAAGGATACCCATGACATTCTTCAAAGAAATGGAGCAAACACTCCTGAAATTTATATGGAACAATAAGCCCCCACGAATAGCTAAAGCAATTCTTGGGAAAAAGAAAATGGGAGGAATCAACCTCCCGAACTTCAAACTGTACTACAAAGCAGTAATAATTAAAACAGCATGGTACTGGAACAAAGGCAGAACTGCAGACCAATGGAACAGGGTTGAATACACTGACATCTCCCCTCAATCATATGATCATCTAATCTTTGATAAAGGTGCAAGTAATGTGAAGTGGAGTAAGGAAAGCCTCTTTACTAAATTGTGTTGGCATCACTGGACGGCTACATGCAAAAAAAATAGGCTCAGAACTCTGCCTAACACCATGTACAAAAGTAAGATCAAAATGGATTAAAGACCTCAACATCAGACCAGAAACCATAAGGTACATTGAAGATAAAGTTGGCAAAACCCTCCATGACATTGAAGCTAATGGTATCTTCAAAGATGCCACGCCACTGGCCGAGCAAGTGAAAACAGAGATAGATAAATGGGACTATCTTAAACTAAGAAGCTTCTGCACCTCCAAAGAAACAGTGACCAAAATACAAAGACAGTCTACAGAATGGGAAAGGATATTCACCAAATACACATCTGACAAGGGGTTGATATCCAGGATACACAAAATACTAGTTAAACTCCACAAGAAGAA